TTGAACTTGGACTGTGGTCTATCATCAGCAGCCTCTTTGAAGTCCTTCAACTTGATTTGGAAGGTTCCTTGCTTTAGATGGTGGTGTGGGTGGTGTGAACCTACATCTGCTCCTCTTCTTCACCTTGTGTCAAGTAGGCTGCGTCTCCTCTTTCTTGAGATTGAGATGAAGTCGATCTGATTTTTAGTGTGTCATGGTGTCTGGTGAAATCCATGTCGCTTTGTGGATATCCTTGTGGCCGAACACAGTCCCTGACTCCAATCACCAAATCGTTGAATGCACAGAATTCTGCAAACAATTCTCCATTCTCGTTCATCACCTCACCCAGCACTTCTCGACCCATGATTAGTTCTTTTCCTGTGTTGTCCGCTCCCAGTTTGGTATTCATGTCGCCCATTAGAATTTTAATGCCGTCAACTGCGGTGAGGTCTTGTCCAGTGTTGATTGCAGTTGTCTGTAGAATTCCTCCTTTTTCTATTGCTCTGCATTGTTTGTAGGTGCGTAGCACTGCACGATTGTCTTTCCGTCCTTTTGAGTTGAATCCATCTTGCTATCATGATCCTGATCGTTGAGGAGATTGGTTTTCATTGCATGAGAGACTTTGATGCTGTTGGGGACATCATGATAGCCACTCCCTCAGTGTGTTCATGGTTGTCGTCTGGGTGACAATATCGGAGTAGATTATTGACTCTGGAGTTAAGAGTTTGGAGAGTCCACTTCCATTCCATCTGCTTTCGCAAATTCCTAACACTTCAGTGCAATACCTTCTCATCTCCTTTGCAATCTGGGTAGCCTTGCTAGGTCCAAACATGGTGCGGACATTCCATATCCCCACATTTACTTTTGCTTTCATCGAGAGAATACACACCGGCTAATTGGCTTCCCGAAGGCTTTCACCAACTGGCGTCCTTTCGCCTCTCCGATTCCAGCGATGAATAAGTTTGTTTTTATTTTTTATATTTTGTTTGTGCTTTGAAGTTTCTTTAGTGTTTCTGGGTTAGGGTTGCTAGCCCTATGCCCAACCTTGCTACTTTTTGCCCGGGCTTAGGACCGGCTAGTAACTAGTGAACTAGTTAAACAGGCGAGGTTATTGGTGGATCATACAGCCGTCTAGTCATGCTGCCTATTGGTGTCAAGTTTTCAACTAAGTTTAAATGTATCAATGTAACTGTTCCTTTGGAACTAACTACATAGAACGTACGATTAGGCAGGTGTATCTCCTGATACGAGAACATTTACCAGCTTGGTTCGGAAAGGGCGAAGTGAAATTAGTGAAAAGTTCAATCCTAGCGTACCTAGTAGACACGTTGTATCACATGGATGCTGATAAAGTTTTCAGTGTCATTCATTGTATTCTAATAACGATACCATGTGTTGCACGCCAACGCCTGCTCAACACAATGGAGGCTGTCTCAATAAGATTGGTTAAACCTGAACTCTGCATTCAGAAAGAACATGTCCAAGCGTTACTCCTCCCTTGACCTTCAGTAAACTAAGGGCCACTTCTGCCTTCTTTATTCGTTTGTTCACTATCACATTCTTCTGTATATGTCACCCTAATATTGACAAATTTATAGGAAAATCGACTTCTTTACGGTCCCTAAATATCACTCCATTTTGAAAATATATCTGCCCCTAACTGGGCTTGATTTTACACTATACAAATACATTTTATAATTGTAGAACCTGATGAGAAATTATTGAAAACGTTCTTCGTTTAGGTTGTTGCTTTTCAGTGTAAACGTTAAGGAGAGAATCTAAGAGACGTACTTCCGTTTCTTGGTCAAGTTTGATCAAATTCATCATTCAGCTTAATTTTCCTAGTTGATGTGACAGATAAAATGAAGAATTTATAATTGATTTTTTTCCAAATCGCTGAGTAACTATGAGTTGTTAGAATGTATAATGTATAAATCTGATCTGTCTGATGCGCTTAGCTTCATTTTGACTTCAGCGACTGTTGTCAAACGCTTGATAACGGTCTACTGTTTTGTTTGAACTTCTGCAGAATATCCTCGAGTTTCTTTGTTGGCATTCTGTCAGCATCTAAGGATGAAAATTTCTCAATGCGAAATTTGCAGAAAGCTCATCAATTGAGAAAACTAGTAAGTATACCAGGATGCGCTTTCACCAAAGCCACTTCGCAGTGGCCGAATGCTATGAATTGCTTGTATCTGAGTAGTTTTGTGATTTCTGGTGGAGGAGTGAGTGACGAGATTTCCATCCGCATATCAAAGGCCAGAGTGGCATACGCCAGTGTGGACCACCTTTGGCACCGTCGCGACCTTAGTCTGACTGTAAAAGGTCGGATTTACAACGCTTCGGTGAGAGCAGTTTCTACTCTACGCCTGTGAAACCTGACATCTCCAAGCTGTGGATATGCAATTAACCTCTGTGTTTGACCATCTCTGTCTCCGTAGGATTGCTCGTGTCTGGTGGCAACACTATGTAGGTAATTCTGAGATACGACAGCATGTTCCGGCACGATGGAGATCGTCATTCGATAAGTGGAGTCATCTGGAAACTCCGGCTTCGGTCGTTTGGATATGTGTTATACATGTCATCCCGTTCACTGTTTACTAGCTCTCGGACTGGATGGAAGAAGCGGGGATGATCTGTGTGTGAAGTGGTGCTGTGGAATGAAGGATGGTTGTACCTAATTAGTATCTGTTGGTGCATCACGACTTCCTGCGTCGGACGGGGTCCGAGAGATCACGCAACTCAGTAGTGGCTTGAGGTGTTATCGGATATTGTTCAGAATCGAAACCAGCGGTGATCATAGTGTAGCTTCTTCTTATCTTCTGCTGTCAAGAAGTAGTAAATGTTTTGTTTTGAGTGCATCTTATTGGACTGCCTTTTCAATCATTCTATTCGTATTGAGCTTTTGTGTGGCGCATTTCTTGGTGCCCTCACTGTACCATGTTTGTTTTCTAATAAATAAATAAATGTCACATGATTGGTACATAAAGGTTAAATCTGAAAGGAAAAGGTAAGTTGTTGTCTGGTGCTTGTAATTCCTTGTCGCTATACATGGTCGAATCGCTTGAACTCTGTTGGCAGATGGGCTCCTATGCGGATGTCTCGGTACTGCTGGATATTCATGATGTATTCATCTTGGTGACTCGCAGTGGAATCCATGACGTGGGTTTCCTCCTATTTGGGACCTATCAGCTGGATGTACCTGCACTCCAGTGTGTGATGCTGTTCCCACTGGGACTCGAATCGAGTACACATCGTTTCAAATGCCAAAGCGGTCTCCACTGGGCACGAGGAGCACCACTTGTGTAGTGGGTATCATTTGTTGTTTGATGCTTGTCTCCTCACTACTTTATGTCAAACCGAAAATCTTGTTATAAAATAGGCGCCGAAGGATGTACTACACGTTATAATAAAACAAAAATGCTGTCTTACAAAGATGCTAAACACTTTTTTGTTTGTCTTCTGCTAATTGCCTCAACCACATAGACTAAAATATGCGAATCAGCCTTTGCTTTATATGAGTTACATCCGTTTTGTGTGACGGTCGTTAAAGACAAGAAAGCATTCAAATAGTTTAACTCGTTAGTTGAAATCCAGATAGTTAAACCAATAAAACATCTTTAAAAAAACAGCTAATTTTATATTTTCAGCATCAGCAGATATTTTTGCTACTATTATGATACTGGAAATAAGCAAGGATAAAGCATATAAATTATGAACTACTTTATATGTTTTATTACATTGTCATACTTCAGTTTACATTCCCCTAGATCACCATTGTGTATTCGTTGATGATACTTTGTTGATTGATCTGACATGTGATAATTTCACAATTTTCATCGGAAAACAGCTGACTCTAGCTTGGTACTGTTTTATGCTAACCTACTTTCAGCTAATAATTTTGCAAGTTAACAAGCAACTACAGGTTTGTGTCGGGAAATAAGCAATGCGTAGTTGTGGCTTGGTATAATTATTCAATCACCTGGACCTTGGCAGATTAAACGCAGTTTGAACCCACAAGCAAGCGGTTAAAAAAAGAGTTAATGCTGTTGCGCATCTGCTATGGTCTTCTTTAAACAGAACCATATTTTGTTACTTTGTTCGAAAACCACATTAATGGTAGCTTCTTAAGTAATGAAGTATCTCATGCTTTTCTGTTTCATTTCTATTTCGAAGTAATTATTGACAAGATCGCATATCTACACTCAGTTTTTCGTTACAACTTTTATCTCTCACAAATCACTATGTATTCTCTTTGGTTATAGAATGTAGATTAGTCTAAGTAAAGTAACCAATGATAATTTGAGAATTGGATGTGACTTATGTATTCGTGCTCCTCTAATTCTTTTTTAATTAGTTTTCAGCAACTGGCTTAATTGATTACTGTGAAAGTTGGTGTGACCTTTAAATGCCATATCCCATCATGAACGTTCAATCCTAAACGATATATTTTGCTATTATTTCAATAGCTCACACCATGTTGACCTCTTTGATAGTAGTAGTATGTTTACTCACATCTTAAACTATGCTATATAGTTTGCCCATGAGACGTTTTTTCCTTTCTCATCTAGCAAGTTTGTTTTTATCTATTATCAGTTACTTCAATATGGTCGATCCACAAACATATTGGTAACGCTTTCATTGTCTTCGGTACACAGATGGTTTTTCAAAATATTGTGACTTGGGCCAAGTACACGTATGACGTTTTAGACATCAGCTAGCAATCCCTTTATTTAGATAAATTTCAATCCCATAGAGAGACAAGACCACCTGAGTAAAGTCCATGTTTGAAGACTCAATAATGGCTCGAAATTGGTTGTAGTGATGGGTATACATTCATTTCACTCATACCCTTATACTTGCTAATTGTTTTTGTTGAAAAATGTAACTTTTACCGGTACACTTTTTCTACCTTCTCTATTGGATCTATCTATCTATCTAATTATTGCGTTATATGATGTTTTTGTAATAGATCGTACTACGTGCACATCATTTCAAATGTATTTTTCTTTTCGCTTTAGTAACTTCTCTCGAACTTTAAACAAGGTAAAGGCCGAACAGGAAGGATGGTCCACAATATCAAACTCATCATCTTTAGATGGTGATCTTAGAGGAGCAGCGAATCCCACATTTGCCAAACAAATTCAGATAAACCGAATTGCTTCTATGCCTTTTATTGAGAATTATACTACAGGTACTGACAATTCAAATACCATAGAGTCAGAGAATGGTCAAATTAAATCACCCTTGCACATTTCTGATTCTACTGAGGTTAATTCACCACGTTTAACTGACCGGCCTTTAGTATTACTGCCCAATACTTCAAATACAACTCATACGACGCACTCCGGTGTTAATTCTTTGCGGAAACACAGTACAAACTCCAAATGTAGTTCGTAAGTTATATATATATATATATATATATATATATATATATATATATATTCTACTGTTTTAAATTTTATTCACTTTTTAACTGAGTATGCCGAAAGTTGTTTCAATTTACTACTATTACATCTTATTTCGGGATGCTGTTAACAAAATATTGCAAATCAGCCATGTACAAGTTTATGTACTAAGCCACGAACCATACTTATTGTATGGTGGTTTATGATTCTATGCGGTTTCCCAGATCGAAGTATCTGGCAAACATCCTTTGAAAACTGAGTGTTGAGGCTGATGAGTCACATTTATGCATATGACTGAAATATCCTTCTTTGGTGTCAGTGCGAAAATTGCTGTTAGTTGTGAAGGCAAGCGACATGTTCCATTTCCATTTGGGATCGGAGCTGTGTTTCAGTGGTTTAGGGTGATGGCTATCGACCATCAGATCATGGTCCTAAACCCTGCTCCACCTACTGAAGTTTGGGCAGCCAGGTAGTATCACTAGCTCCTTAAACAATAAGTGTCACTCTTTGCTTACTATGCTAATGTGCACACGGTTGCTGAGTGCGTACTGCACTTACTGTCATTGAGATTGAGAAAAGCTGGCTGTTGACTTTTTAAGCAAACGAAACCACACCTGATTAGTTTCGTTAGCTCATAGCCATATTTCTGAGAACCACTTCAAAGCTAATCAAGTCTTACATATAAAGACGACCGGAACAGGCTGGCTTCAGGAAGAACATATCATGTGCGGATCAAATTGCAACGCCACCCCACGCATCATCATAGAACACAGCATAGAATGGTAGTCAAGTATCTACCTCAACTTCAACGACTTTGAAAAGGCCTTTGACAGCGTTGACCGAGAAGTAATTTGACGATGCTCCAACACGATGGAATACCAAAAACCTTTATCAACCTCATTCAACAACTAAATGAAGACGCCACATGCCAGCCAAGTAATTCACAATGGGAAGCTCAGTCATGCCTTTGAAGTGAAGACAGAAGTAAAACAAGGATGTCTACAATCACCCACGATCTTCCTGATTGTAATGGACTGGATCATGCAACAAACCGTGAGGAGTGAGAAGAGGGGGATACTCTGGACCGGGGAGAAGATCCTAGAAGATTGGATTTCGCCGCCGATGACTTATGTCTAATGTCTCACAAACTTGAAGATCTACAGGAGAAAACTAACAAGTTGACAGAAGAGGCAGCGAAGACAGGACTTCAAGTGAACGTAAAGAAGACAGGGGTGATCGTGATACCCAACCAACAACAACAAGCTCTAATCACCATCAACGGGAGAAATTTAAAAGAAGTAGCCTCTTTCACCTATCTAGGCAGCATCGTTTCAACTACAGGCGGCACAGACGAGGACGTCAAAGCCAGGATCGGAAAATCAAGACAGGCTTTCATTAACTTGAAACCAGTGTGGAGATCTTCTGCACTCCGCATGTGGAACAAGATCCGAATTTTCAACACCAACGTCAGTCAAGTCAGCGCTTCTATGTGGTTCAGAGACATGGTGCGTTATGAAAAGCATTTCCAACAAACTGCAGACATTCATCAACAACTGCCTACCCTTATACTGAATATCAGATGGGCAGAAAGAATAAGCAACAAGGAACTTTGGTCTGGCAACGAACCAACCAAGAACCTATCGTTGAACAAATATGCAGAAGGAAGTGGAGATGGATTGAGCATGCACTGAGAAGACCATTCGGGGACATCACACACCAGGCACTCGAGTGTAACCCAGATGGGAAGCGACGAGTTGGGCGTCCGAGGGGGTGACATGGAGGAGATCGTGTGAGGAAGAAATGAAAGGTTGTTGGTAGTCGTGGAGCCAGGTTCAAAAGATTGCGGGGAACAGAGTGCACTGGAGACGTGCTACTGAAGCTCTATGATCCACTAGGAACCGAGGGACAAGTAATAATAATAATTACCTAAATAGTATCACCTCCATCCTTAAAAAGAGCCGAGGCAGGTTGTTTATGCAGGGTTCTCTATGGTGCTTCAGTACTTGAGTTCCTCCGTTTCGTTAGGTAGGTTAGTGTAAACTGATCATGAAGTATAAGACAATGAGTTTAAGGTTACTAGAGCATAAGTTACATGAATCACCTTCTGAAGTACTCCGACCAGTGTTCTAGGTCTTTGAAAGTTGGTGATCGGTGTACCACTTAACAAACCGTCCCACTGACGTCAGGCTTCTGGCTGCCAATTGCAACGGCTTCCGACTACTGCTAGATGCAGCTGCTGCTTGTAACTGACTGGTACATTCTGACCACTAAAGCTTGCGGTCCTTACGCACAGGACTATACTCGGTGACGAAAAATAATAAGAGGTAGACAACCACCATGTTCTTTATGTTTTTTCCCCTTGGGTTCCTAGTGGATCATAGAGCTTCAGTAGCACGTCTCCAGTGCACTCTGTTCCCGCAATCTTTTGAACCTGGCTCCACGACTACCAACAACCTTTCATTTCTTCCTCACACGATCTCCTCCATGTCACCCCCTCGGACGCCCAACTCGTCGCTTCCCATCTGGGTTACACTCGAGTGCCTGGTGTGTGATGTCCCCGAATGGTCTTCTCAGTGCATGCTCAATCCATCTCCACTTCCTTCTGCATATTTGTTCAACGATAGGTTCTTGGTTGGTTCGTTGCCAGACCAAAGTTCCTTGTTGCTTATTCTTTCTGCCCATCTGATATTCAGTATAAGGGTAGCAGTTGTTGATGAATGTCTGCAGTTTGTTGGAAATGCTTTCATAACGCACATGTCTCTGAACCACATAGAAGCGCTGACTTGACTGACGTTGGTGTTGAAAATTCGGATCTTGTTCCACATGCGGAGTGCAGAAGATCTCCACACTGGTTTCAAGTTAATGAAAGCCTGTCTTGATTTTCCGATCCTGGCTTTGACGTCCTCGTCTGTGCCGCCTGTAGTTGAAACGATGCTGCCTAGATAGGTGAAAGAGGCTACTTCTTTTAAATTTCTCCCGTTGATGGTGATTAGAGCTTGTTGTTGTTGGTTGGGTATCACGATCACCCCTGTCTTCTTTACGTTCACTTGAAGTCCTGTCTTCGCTGCCTCTTCTGTCAACTTGTTAGTTTTCTCCTGTAGATCTTCAAGTTTGTGAGACATTAGACATAAGTCATCGGCGGCGAAATCCAAATCTTCTAGGATCTTCTCCCCGGTCCAGAGTATCCCCCTCTTCTCACTCCTCACGGTTTGTTGCATGATCCAGTCCATTACAATCAGGAAGATCGTGGGTGATTGTAGACATCCTTGTTTTACTTCTGTCTTCACTTCAAAGGCATGACTGAGCTTCCCATTGTGAATTACTTGGCTGGCATGTGGCGTCTTCATTTAGTTGTTGAATGAGGTTGATAAAGGTTTTTGGTATTCCATCGTGTTGGAGCAGTCGTCAAATTACTTCTCGGTCAACGCTGTCAAAGGCCTTTTCAAAGTCGTTGAAGTTGAGGTAGATACTTGGCTACCATTCTATGCTGTGTTCTATGATGATGCGTGGGGTGGCGTTGCAATTTGATCCGCACATGATTTGTACTTCCTGAAGCCAATTAACCAGCCTGTTCCGGTCGTAGTTTTGAATCCAGCGCATCCTTTAGTCTGTCGAGGATGGTGCGGCTTAATATTTTGCTTGGGCCACATCTGTTAATGCTTGTAAATTGTGTTCTTATACTGAGTCTTATCGATCGATCACTGTTGGGAGATGGGCTTCTGGGGTAACGCCTCGGTATTGCCGGAGGATTCACTATAGAGCAGTTTCTCTTGGTGGTTGCTAGGAGTGAAATCTGGGATGCATATTTCATTTTATTCTGGACTTGCAAAGTGGATGTGTTTGCATCCCAGTGAGTGATGCATCTAGTGAGACTCAAACCTGACGCTCATAACTTAAAACGCCAGATCATTATTTACTGGGCTACTGAGGCAGGATAACCACTTGTGCAAAGTGTTAGTTGTTATTTATATCCCGTTATACTGGACCGAATTGATTGGTTCAATGCATTAATTACCTTTTTTTACCCACTACAGAAAAACCAGCGTGTTGAAAGTAAGTATAGCAGGAGTGAAATGATAGTAAACTCGAGGGTGAATAAAACAATTTTATCAAATCACTTACTGTTAGTTTGGTCTTTATAAGTAAGGTGGATTTCATGACTGTCATCCATCGATCTATAATTATTGGGCCTTCCACCATCCTACATATACTTACTCATCTGGTCATCTTTTTTTCTATCTTCGAATATCTTATTACTGTTAGTAACATATATTGAAGCGAGGGGAGACGAACTGATACACTTTTGTATCGAGTCCTGTCTTATTTGATGTGCCGAAACATAAAGCAGCACCTTAGACGAACAAGTATGGTTATGTTTCTTGTCACCTGATTGATTGCTTACTGTGAAATTTATCTCCATCAATATTAGATAGTCAATTAAGCCAGGCAAATTTATAGGATGTTAAATACTCGGATGTATATTATTCGTTTTACTGTTTATTGCGTATTTCTTAAAGTAATTCTCATCATTTTGTTGAATTATACACTGTGTGGTTACGCTTCGTTTATTTGCTGCATACATATACAGACATTTATAATTGTGATATTCAAAAAAAGAATTCTTTTATAGTGTCGGAAAACAATCACGGTACATATCAATAATTACCTTTTGTGCAGCGTATAAATTTGGTATTCTGCATGCTTTTTATTCTCATCTGTAGTGAGAAAATATTGATGATAGTATCTGTGAGCAAAAATTACAGTTCAATTAATTCTTCAACTCATTCCGAAAATGATTTTAATCACGAGAATTTTTACGCTGTCACATGTGTATCTGTAAATGAGTATGCGTGCCTGTTGAATTTGGCTCCCTTTTTTAGAAAAAATCAGCGTAGAAAATTGTCGTTCTAATGATTTTTTGTCGCAGGCTGTTTATTGTTAGGTAGTGACAAACACTGTCAGCTCAAGTAGCCTGCTGTTGCTATAGA